TTGTTGTTGAGATGAGACACAAGCGCGCCTTCGCCCCTTGTGCTCACTCTCATCTAGCACCCATCAAAGCCTGACCAGGGAGTCAGTTGATAAGAAAATCTATCTACATTTCTCTTTCCAGAGCTCGCTCGGGCCTACCGATCTCACAGCAGTGTAGACCAACCTCTGTGATAGAGCGGTGACAGCAGTGTAACCTCTGTGGTAGACTACAAAGTCTACGAGCTACAGCAGCACCGCCACCTCCGCTGCTGCAGGACGCCACATTCTGTGACTGCTGACCTCCGAAGAATCAGTCGTGTCGTCCGTGTCCTCCACGATGCTACCGAAAGGCCCGTCTCCCGTGTCTGTGCTGCTGCCAGTACCATCCGAACCAGAAGTCGTGTCGTCGCCCTGCTGGACTGGGTCTGGCACAACGGCGGCGGCGGCGGCCACAACGTCCACACCACGTTCGCATTGGTGGCCTGGCTCGATGTTTCGGAGCTGCCACAGCTGCCGCTGCTCGACGGCCTCGAGGTCGGCCGTGGTGCGGTCCGCCCGCTCGCAGAGCACCACGAAGCTGCTTTTCTCCCCCCTCGCGCGGCCCCGCCCCTGCACCATGGACACGACGTGGTCGATGGAGTCGTACCGGACCACGCAGTTCGCGTCGGCGACGTCGATGCCCTCCTCGGCGACGGCGGTCGACAGGAGGAGGTTCACGCTGCCGGACCGGAAGGCCTCGAGGATCTCCTGGGTGGCTCTCTCGGAGAGGGAGAGGGAGGCCGTCGCCGGGGAGGAGGAGGCGCACAGGCAGGCCGCGGAGAAGGGCGCCATGCTGGGGTCGGCGGCGATCACGTGGGCCAGCACGTGGGTCGTCACGCGCTGGCGCACGAACACTATGCCGCGGAAGGCTTCCCCTTCGCTGCCGCCGCTTCCATTGCCCCCGTGGTGGTCGTACTTGTCCAGAAGAACGTTCTTCAGGTGCTCGAACCGAGGGAACGTTCCTGGTACTGCCTCCCAGAAAACCGATATCTTTTGCCGCACGTCGCCCGGCCAGACGACCTCGGGCGCGACGCGGTGGCTCGGGGACCCCGTGCAGCCGAACATGTCGAGGATGGTCGCGGCCTCGTCTTCCCTCTCCTCCCAGGACACGACCAGGACCTTGACGGCCTCGTACCAGTGCTCCAGCTCGGCGAGCATCGGACGATGCACAGACGGCGGCTGCGGCTGCCGCGAGTACTGGTTGGTTGGACAGCCCCTGTTGGTGGCGCCGCCGCCGCCGGCACCGTTGTATGCGAGGCTGTGGGCGTAGGCGCCCCACTCGCAAGCCTTCATCTGGCCGTCGAGGACAAGCGGCGAGGCGAAAGTCGGGTGCTCCGACACGGCCGTTATCGCCTTCTCCATACCGCGGACGCAGGCCATGATCCGACCGGCAAAGTCGGTACCTTCGTTCCTGCGCTCCCGGAGCAAGAACATCGTCGCCGGCTGTTGGGTTCTGTCCGCCTCGGGCAGCACTCCGGACGGGGTTACCGTCGAGGGAGGCAACAACACCTCGGCCATCGCGGCGTGGCACCCGCCCGCTCTCAGTTCTTGGTGGGATACCGTCTCGATGTTCGTGAGACACAGCTCGCTCGATAACGCGCGCAGGCGAGCTTTCGCCCTCGGGTTCCCGAACTCGTAGGAGTAGGAGGCCGTGAGGCCCAACACGCGCTGGGTGCCCAATACTGACGGCGTCGACCGCGACTGCCAATGGCGAAGACTCTGAGCCAGTTTGCGGTACGGGTGCCCTTTGAGCAGATGGTGGACCTGTTGCGCGACGGGGAGGTAAGCCAGTCGTTAATCTAAAAGCAAAGCGAATTCGACGAGATGTCATACTCTGGCGGGACATCGCGACACACAACACACACCAACACGGCGGCGCACACCATTATAATCTGGATCACTCATCGCCACTCAGATGTGAGCGCCAACGGCGCACGAACGTTAGGGTGGGGCGTGTGCATGAGTGAGAGGTAGTGTAGGAGCGGATGGAAGAGGGGGAAGAGATGACTGTTGGGCTTTTCCGATTGGTCACAGGATGCTGTGCCATTGCATGGTAAAAATTGGGGTGTTGCTACACATCGACGTACGTATGTGAATAGAAACTGTCGTTCGACGCGAAACCGATTTACAGCTTTCCGCGAAGCTGTTCTGCCAGGGAGACCGGTCTACGGGAAACGCTGGTACTCCCTCGGTCTCATGTGTAGCGTTATGTTTGTGCGAGCACTTGACCGTGTGCGATGCCTTCCGCGATGATTTTTTGGACATCACGGAGCGTTGTTTGGGTTCAACACTTTCTGTTTTTCGATCATTACCCTGCACGGGCCAACGGCCGGAAAAATTATCAGTAGGTCCAAAAATGGCCACAGTTTGCCCCATTTCGGCGGGGGGAAGACAAAGGCAAAGAAACACTACTCCTCAGAAAACACCCAAAATCGGGGATATATTGAGTTGTTTTTCGTATGGAAGTAAGATCATTTTGTTGTATTTTTTTTTTCATGAGCATCTCCTTAGCCTTATCTTTGCAACGAACTCAAGTTTACAACCATCGGCGCTACCGCTCCGCCTCAAACACTTATCGCCCGAAACGCGACAGACTCATGGAACGGAGGAAGTGCGTTCTCAAGGAATATGGACGTCTCCACAGGGCAACCGAGATTGCCAAAACAGGGCGAAGGGCTACCGTCCCAAATTACAGCAAACAGCACCGTCTACCATCCAAGTCAGGCCCGACCACATGAGGCATACCAGAACATCGATTTCCACTACGTAAGGTCGCTAGGGGATGCGAGAAGAACGTGCCGATAATTAAGCGTCGGTCAACGTGTCTACCCGCAAGAAATACCCTTTCCACCCCAAGGGTGTACACAGAAAAGTGAAAACGTCACCTAGATGTTCCACAGAAGAGTGAAAATGACACATAAGTAGATGCTAGAGAGATCGGAATAGAATATCGGTGGACAGTACTTTCAAGGAAACCAAAAAAGTACTTGTTGTAGTCTCGGAAGAGAGATCAAAGAGAGAGTCGCCGGAGAGGCGAGGGAGACCAAGCCCGAGGGTCTCGGATTCCCAAGCTCCGCAGGTGGCGCCAAGAGGGACGCATCCATTGTCGGATTTCTTGCTGATCAACCATCAGTAACATCCTCCGCTCGGATCGTACCTTGGCCCAAATTTCACATGGGCAACAATGCTTACAGCACTTCTACACCTGCCATCCACACATATAGTAGCCTTTTGGGATCTTTAGTTTTTCTTGATTTTAGAATTCCCCCCGCCCCCCCCGGTCCGGTCGCTTGGCAACGACGTTGTAAAACAAGCCGCCCCCCCCGGTGTTTCCGCAAGAAGAGGGGGTGCGTAGACCACGTGTTCACGGTAGGGAGAATCATCCAAGGTAGAAAGAGGGCGGGAAAGCCGACGTACTGCTTCTTCCTGGACGTGAAAAAGGCATACGACACCGT